AATAGACTTAACATAAGGGTAGTTAAATGCTCTTTGTTTCAAAAATACATTAAATCATTAGTAGAAATAAATATATATTCTTCATTTGTAAAGCTAGGTGTTTGTTAGTTGAAACCAACACTTTACTTGATGAAGATGATAGTTAGCTTAGTATCTTAGTGATTAGAGCTAGCTTAGTAGTTTACCATGTGTATTCTTATTTTAAGAGTTGTTGTTGTCGAAATGCTAAGTATTGCATCATCATCGCATGCATGTAGAGAACGATTTGGCAGAGATCGTGACCATTGGAGATCATGAGTTCGAGGAGGTGATTGAAGAGTATGAGGAGAAGATCCTTGTGCAGGAGGGGGTCCCGGAGCCGCCACTGACTGAGCTGAGCTGACACCGCACTTGCCCAAGGCAAGCCCCGGTGCATAACCTTTATTTTGAATGATCACTGGATATATATATACATACATACATACATATATGTGTGTGTGATGTGCATTTACGTTACAGGCATTTTATAGAAACTACATGCATAGATAACCTACCTATGAGTCCTACTAGCATATGTCGAGTAGATGCTATGCTTAGGCTACCGGTAGCGTGAGTAACATGTCATTATTCACAATAGGTGGTTATTATTATCACTCTCATGATAAAATGGTGAAAGGAAATGGACACCGGGTAGGGATATGGTACGGGTATTGGTGGGTGTAAGAGGTTGTGTCCCACGGCCAACGGGGCATAGCTTGATTACACTGTTTTCCCTGTACGTGTCGGTTAAGGACCGGCCGTTGCATTAGGTTCCAGTCAGGTCACAGACTTATTATCCTGAGCACATACTTATTTATGGGAGCAGGGAAGGCTCGTTGCTCTCTTATCGTGGGTTTTGGCTATTTCTGGACCGACTGATTGGAGGAGGAGATGGTGGAGGTCTAAGCACCACACTGAGTCCGAGGCTCAGGTGTGGGGGCTTAGAGTCCAAATTTGGACGGGGACCTGTACCCCTTGACAGGAGAGTGGTGGGTTGGTCATGCTTGTGGCTGGGGTACGAGCGGGGCGTGTATTTTCGGGGTACCCAGTTGGGGGCATTGATTCGCGAATCACTGGAAAATCCGGTACGGCTTGTCTAAACTCTAGCACCGTAGTAAGAACTGAAAGATGAAAGATGATAAAATTAAATTGATTGCTCAACTCTTGCTTGAAAGTAGAACATGTGCTTACATAGAATGGTTAGTTAATGAATCAAGACGGCTAATAATAATTTAAATAAGGATTCACTATTAGTATTGCTTTCTGCAAAAAGAAACCAACAAACCCTAAAGCTTTGCATATCCCTTGGAGTCTGAAAATTATTCCCACTAGTCGGGTAAGTCTTGCGAGTACATTGTGTACTCAGGGTTTATTCACCCTTATTGCAGATGCAGGTTGAAGAGTAGCTGTTGTATGGAGGATTCTTCTGGTGGGCACAGACGGATCCTTGTATTTTACCGTTAGATGTTTATTATAATTCCGCTGTTTAAATTCCGCACTTTGAATTTAGTATTATAATAATGTATTTCTAAGAACTCTTGATATATAAAATGGACTAAGTATTGTAAACTCGTTCTTATTATTGGATCCTGTAAGAAAAAACGTGGATTATTCGAGTTCTTCCTTGGGGTGTGCTCGACGGAATCCGTCTGATATAGCTTGCTTTTTCGGGTGCTTAGTGTCAGGTGGAAGATGAGCACCTCCGAAAGTATGTTATTTCGGCCGGTTCTGCCACATAAACTCGCCGATTCAACTGAACAATTACATTCTGATGAATTGGCTAGAAATGAGCACTGCTGGACTGGAGGATCACGCCTACAAAGGATGGCCTCCAAACAGCACGCTAGAGTCGATGGGATTCACGAGCGCAGACGATGCACTAAAAGCTATCTCCCTCGTGTTCAATGATCAGGATCGGATATGCCCACCACAGTACCAGACTTTGCCAAATTATATACGTACTCGCTCCCTCCGTCCACACACGAGAATATAGTTCTCACTTATCGAGGAGTCAACCAATTTAAACTTTGACTGAAGTTATATTAAAAAATACTAATATTTTTTATATAAAAAATAAGTATCATTAAATTAATTATAGAATATATTTTTATCATGAATTTATTTGAAGACATAAATGCTAATACTATTTACTACAAATTTGGTCAAAGTTGAGTAAAGTTGACCGGCACGGATCCTATAGTTACATTCTTTTGTGGACAGAGGGAGTGTGTTACTTGTTGTATCCCTTTTCTTGTCACAAAATCATGTCGATCGGGCACTGGTTTATGGTTATGGCGTGCGTGGCCTGGAACACTTGTCGAATTAGGGCTCATGCATATATTCGCCTAATGAGGTACCCTTTTTCTAATTTTATTTAATTTACAAATAAATAAATCATGTCGTCCAAACCTGATGCATGTGACCATTGGAGCTAGTATTTGTTCATTTGATCCTGTAAACCCGACAGTACCGGGATCAAGAAACTATATATGCAAACATAAACACTACTGCATTTGGTTCAGCATGTAATGGTTTGGAATCACAATAATACTGTTTGCCATCTATATCCGAGCTACCGGTTCAAATCTGGGTCCACTACGTCCTGCTCATGTCATTCCTTAGGTACCCGTCACTAGCTAGGATAAAATGGGAAGGCCCACAGGTTGCTTTGAGATTGGTGTATGCCACGTGCAAGCAAAGGAGGGAGGTCTCTTTAGAAGTAGGAAGGGGAGAGTCTGTCAGAATTTGCCTCCCCCCTGGATGAAATAGTCCATGCCCACCGCGTCAACGCACGATGAAAGCGAGCCCCATTCTTCTCAGGTTCAAAAGGCAGCAGCTTTGGAATTGGATCTCCGTGCAAGCCTGATCAGTCGTCCAACAGGTTAGTGATCTATTCTGCCACTGATTTCTCTCCATCCATGGCAAAAGCACTTCCGTACTGCCTTGAGCTAGTAACCTCTGCTTTGCTGATCCGTGATTAAGCATGTTATAGATGGGTCTCTGTGTTAGTGGTGTGCCAATGTTCAGCTTCCTAAGCAGTCCCTGTGAAATAGGGAAAACTGCTAAATATGTCAGTTTTCAGAAGTTGTTCCCAACTAGTAGTGAAAATATTCAGAGCTGGAAATACTATTGTTGTATTTGGTTAAAAAAGGCTGTATCAATCGGCATGTTCGCTGGTTGGTTTCTGGACTGGTTTGGGTTGGCTGGTGCTGATTTGTTGTGAGAGAAAAACACTGTTGGCTGGTTGGTTTGGGCTGGCTGAAACCAACAAGCGAACAGGCTGAATGATCCATGGCGATGCTACCTACTATCACATTCCTGTTGCCATCCGAGTAGGTTCAGTTTCATGCAGGTTCCTCTTGAAGCTACTAAAGCCAAGAATTTGCTAAAGTGTGGACATATGTGCAGGTTTTTTGTTGATGGGTATCTCGCAGAGGTCAGATGTTGCGAAGGACCCAAGTAGATCAGTGTACAAATTTTTCAGTCTAGCTTAGACAATGGCTTTTGTTCTGAATTTGCTTTGTAAGAGTTGCCGTACAAATGGCATAAGATGTATGCACATTGTAAATTTTTATTTGAAATACCTATGGCATCTTGGCAGAGTTGAAACCTGTATACAAGGTTTTTTTTTGCTAAAAATGATTACACTGTTTTGTGATAGTTCCTATGATTGATTTACAAAGATCTGGATTGTGAAGAGAATATGCAGAAATTCACAACCAGAAGCTAAAAACTGAAAATACCAGGCCCTGCAAATGCAATGGGGGCTATGCCTAGATCAATAAGGGTTACTTTGATGTACAGGTTTCGTGTGTTTTGGTTCAGATAGATATTGCATTTAGGCGATGGAAGGCTGGGATGGCACATGTGGCTGCGTTGCTATAGTCTAGAATTTAATATACATATGAATTTCCTTAACGAACTGAGCTGAGCTGTGTAAGATACATATCATATTATTTATCATCATATAATATTAAGATCCTTTGTTCCTGAGACAGGAAACCTACATTTGCCCTGTTCATCCACAGTGAACGCATCCCAGCCGTCCGTTTCTTTTCCAATCACAGCAAACGTGCGCCACGGCTTCGTTCCTCCAGAAGAGCCTTTTACTTATAAAAGATCGAAATTTCTTTTGATCCACTACAAAAAAGTATTGCGGCCTTCGGTGACACTGCTCTAAACTTTGGTTCTCTCGTGCCACTTCCGTCCATTCCCTCTCGTGTCAAACTGGTGGCGGAAATGACAATTATGCCATCGAGTCCATTTTCCTCTTCTTCCTCTCTCCCTCTGTTCTCACACGCAAGCAGGGAAGCGAGCTTTTTATTAAAAACACGGCAGTGGAGCGAGGTGCCCGGCCACCCAGCACCGCGGCGCGCCGCGGTGGCGGCCGGCTTGCTCGCCCGTGCCCGCGCACGCACGGCGGCGGCGAAGGGGCTCGCCCGCCCACGTTCACGCTGCGGCGGTGTGGCAGCTCGCTTGCCCGCCTGCGTAGCGGCGGCGCGTCGACCCGCTCGCTCGCCAGCGCCCGTGCACACACAGCGGCGGCGAGGCGGCTCCCTCACCCGCGCTCGCGCAGCGGCAGCGTGGCAGCTCGCTCGCCGCGCCCAAGCGCACGCGGCAACGGCGCATCGGCCTTCTTGCTCGCCTGCGCTCGCTCGGCGACGTGGCAGCTCGCTCGCCCGCACGCTCGCACGCGCACCTCTGGACTCCGGCGTGCTCTTGGCGACCACGGACTCTGGCACGCCCGACGTGGTAGGTGGTGCTGCAGGAGAATTGGAGCTGTAGGCCACGGGCCCGTCGTGGTGTGCCACGGGCCCCGTCGTGGTGGACCTCGTCCCTAAGGACCAAGCGTGGCAGGTGGTGCTGCAGGCTGTCGCCACACTCGTCTGGGTCTTTGGAGGCGCTTCTGCGGTGGCCGGAGATGGCTAGAAATCGTCGGCCCCCTCCGTCATGCGCACCTGCGAGCTTCACCACGCGCGGCGATGCAGGCCGCGCACTGCCCCGACCGCGCGCAGGCGAAGGCCATGCCTGGCCACGGTGGGCGGCCCTGCCAGCCCTCCGCGTGGGGATTGGGGCCGTCTAACCCGGCTACGGCGGCCGCAGCAGCACCCGGCCGTGGTGGCCTCCAGCACCTCGAGCGGCGCGACGGTGGCCTCCAGCACCTCGGGCGGCGCGACGACGACAGCGACCTTGGCCGTGGTGGCGGGAGACGACACCAGCCTCCCCTGCTGGCCAGCAGGACACTACTGCGGCCGCCTAGGCGCTTCATGGGGAGCGCGGCGCGCCCCACGGACAATGCCCCAGTGAGATTTGCGGGCCGGCGGCATGCTAGTAGCCAGCGAGGGAGGAGAGGTTAGGCACCGTGAGTCAAGGGCAGCCTGCACATTTTCCATGCATGGACCCACCTGACAGATGCAATAATCTGTTAAAATGTGACTGGGAGGCGACGGATGTGGCATGGAAGAAACGAAAATTTAGGGTCTCTTTGGCACGGCTTATATCGGCTTTGGTTTCATCTATTTTACGTAAATCAAGGCACTATGGTGTTAAGTCGTTTTGTAAACCGGGATTAAAATGAAATAGAAATCAGGAAAAATTAGTTTTTCTGATTTCACCTGCTTTGGCTTCACCGATGAAACCGTTTTGGATGAGCCGTGTCAAATGGGGCCTTAGAGCAGGGTCAATCAAGTCCGTCGACGTTTTTTAGTGGCGCAGAAGGAATTACCATCTTCCCTGCTTTAGGCCTCGCCTTATCCTCCCCCGGCTTCCACGCGCTGATGTCGCGGCCCGCTGCCTCGCAGGCTCCGCGGCCTCTTCCTCTCCCCCGCCGCGACGCACGCGCCTCTGCTTCGCCGTCTTCTCCCGTCGTAGATTTGCTTTCCTCAGATTCTCCATTGTCACCTGCACGTCGCCCCTTCCGCTCACGCCGCCGCCCAGCCGTCATCTTCCTCGACGAGCCCGCTGCCTCAAGGTATGCTCACTCCTCGCCTTTTCTCGATTCCCACGGTTTCCCTCCCTACCTGTTTGCCTTCTTGCTCCACATCCTGTGTCAGCGGCGGCGGCGATGGGTGTGGTTTCCTGTGGTTGCCGTCGCTGCGAGTCATGCAGCGTATTCTAGGTGTGGTCGCTGCCCGCTCCGTCGCATGCTCGGGTCCACCCGGGATTTCCTCGGTTCATGTGTCGTCTTTCTTTTGAGGTAAGCTTTGGTTCTCCGAGCTCCGATCTCCTTACACCTCTGATCCCTAACACTGTATCTCATATCTTTTTGTGGATTCCATAGGTTCCAGCATATTTCGCCATGGCCCACACCGTCTATGCCGGGTATTCAAAGTTTTGGTATGCGTGTGCCCAAGATTTTTTTTTTGTTGTACTGCTGTACTCGCTGCATTTCTTAAATACCATGAGGACAAATTGTCGATTATTTTCATGTCACAGCGAAAACGGTGGCCTCAGCTCCTTGGCTGCCAAGAATAGCATCTGCATATCCTGCCTCTAAGAATAGCATCTGTCTTCAGCTAAGGTATCGCATCTGATTCGACTCAGTTAAGTTTGATTTTGGTTTTAGTTTTCATATGTCTTCTCATTTGCCGTCAGAGCATTAGGATTTTGAGTTCTTGAGTCTTGATTGCCAAATGTGCTTCTTTTAGGTCCAATTGGTGCTACACAAGCCAATGAGTGCTCTCTGATTTATGGTTCGTCCTTCGATTTTGCTCTTTGTCTAGGTTTCTCTTTCTCATCCTTAGGCTTGAGATATTTTTTTACTCAAAACTTTCACAAGAATAGCCTGCTGCACATTTCTGGTGATAAGGAGCCTAACTAGATGCAGTTTCTGATGTTGAGTAGCAGTCATAGTAGCCTCCACATGCATTGATCTACATGCTCTCAAGCTATCTGATGGAACGGCACCCGACAATAGAGTTTATGTGGGTGACATTGCCTTTCTTATCCAATTTTCTAAATGCCAGATAAATTGTGCTGCTTGAAGTATGTTGAATTGTTTGGCGTAGTAACCTTGACAGGCCAAAAAAAAATTGCCATTGTTTTTTCATCCATTCTCTTCTGAGTCACAAATCCTTCTCCCTTAACCATAGATTTGTATCGCATAGATGGGACATAGCCTGGTAACCACTTACTGCATATTATCCATGGTACCCTCGCTTCACCGGATTAGGTAGTGGTTGTAGTTGTTTGTCAATGCATACTTTCATGATCTCTTCAGACAATTGTTTCTGCTTCAGTGTAAACACCCTAACTGATTTGTTACATTGCTGACAGTATCAATGGATGATTGTTATCTGAGCTAAAATGTTAACTGTGTGGTACCTTCACAGTTGCATCCTTTGCGTCCAAAACATTTTGGACCGTCTTCCTCTTCCTTCAATTCATATAGTGCAGGCCGATACAACCTCTGCTCAAAGGGATTGTCTGAGATCCACTTACGAATCTTTCGCCGAGAATATCCATAGGTACTGCCAATCTACGCTCAGGTATCTGTGGCGGTAAAATAAGGCTACACCAGTCAGACACCATCCCTTCTCTTCTAAGTTCGACTCTGATTCTGAAACTTCGCCAAAAAGGCTCTGTTCCCGCAACCACCTTATGATGCTGGCCCTCACGTCCCTAGATTCAGTGCCATAGACAACATCCTGATATGCGCTCACAAAGGCAGATTGGCAATGGGACCAGTGATGATGTCGTAACATCTCCAATTCAGGTTTGTAACTTTTCAATGCACCCTTTTCTTTTGCAGTTTGTTGTGCCTTGGTCATAAAAACTAAAAGCAAATAATATTTAGATCTTGATCCAAACAAAGACATCTATAGTTTTGCATCGTCGAAGTTATGTTTGCTATACTGCATTGCAGGTACCATCGTTGCCTGCTACCTAAAAAACAAATCTCTCCATGTGCAGCAAGGAATAACACTATTGCTCAAGATATACATGCCTGGCCATATGCGACGACGGCGCTATGGCCGGACCACGGCTATGGCTGGAGAAGCGTTGGGGGTGGCGCAAAACTAGCGTCAGTGTGACCGCAGGCCCACCTCGGCATCGTGCGGTCGTGGCCATCGAGGAGTTTCCTGCGCTAGCTACATCAGCGCTGCTTCCCTGCAACATCTAGGTAACGTCCTCTGCGAACTCCAGGAACTCACCTCACTCCTCTAGAGTTTAGAGTTAAAACATCCATCGTGTTCACCTCAGATCCATATGAATAGCACACATCACCTATCCTTGGCCCGTGCTCAGCAGCGGCTCTTCCATAAGACGAATGCAGAAGCCCAGGCCTTGACTATTCAGAAGATTTGAGGTCTGCATAATGAGCTGAGCTACTATCCATCTGAATGTATTAGTTTTACTACACCACATCGTGGGTTTCTTTACCAGATAAATTTGCTCTCCAGCCATTTTAACCGTACAATTTCAATGTTCCTGATAAGTCATTTACTTCAACATATACATGTCAGCATTGTGTTAATTATGTGTTAGACACCCCCCTATATTATAATTCCTTTCATCTTTCCAGATTTTGTACTGCTGCCTCCGGCCTCCATCATTTTGGTAGTCCACATGTGAGCGTGGAAACTGATACGGGCATGGTGTCTTGAACTACTGGAGCTAAAAGAAAGAACACTACCTACCTTACTTGATACAGCCAATGGCATGTAATAATTTCCTGGATACTAACACTACTGGAAACGGGATCTTTGTTGAGTGCAAACTGCTTTGCCGAGTGTCAAAAATCGGACACTTGGCAAAGAATTGCACTCGTCAAAAAAAGGCTCTCGGCAAAGGACTTCTTTGCCGAGTGCCAGGCTCTCGACAAAAGAGCGGCACTCGGCATAGGCTGCCCCGCGTAACTGTGTTCGGCCACGTCCTTCTTTGCCGAGTGCCTGGTCTTTTTTTTTAAAAAAAAAATTCTTTGCCGACTGTCCCAGATCTGGCACTCGGCAAAGATTTTTTTTTGTGGAAAATATTTTGCCGAGTGCCACCTGGCCTAGCACTCGGCAAAGAAGGTTTTTTTTAAAAAAAAATTATTTGTCAAGTGTTCCAGATCTGGCACTCGGCAAATATTTTTTTTTTAGAAAATACTTTGCCGAGTGCCCCTGACACGGCGCTTGGCAAAGAATTTTTTTTCGAAATGTCTTTGCCGAGTGCCCCTGACACGGCGCTTGGTGTGTTCACGGGAAGTTCCCATGCCCAATATGCAAGGAAGGTGTGAGGTTCATTTGGTTGCAGAAGGGTGACAAGTATTCGTCGTTCGACAGACATCGTCAATTCCTACCTCTTGACCATCAATTCAGACAAGACATCAAGAACTTTATGAAAGGTGTCAAAGTGACAAACCCTGCACCGTGGATGATGACTGGTGCTGAGGTTCATGCTCAGATAGATGCTCTCGTGCCCAATGAAGAAGGTGGTTTTGCGGGATATGGTGAGCAACATATGTGGACTCATATCTCGGGCATGACGAGGCTCCCCTATTTCGATGACCTTCTTCTGCCACATAACATTGATGTAATGCACACTGAAAAGAATGTCGTCGAGGCACTTTGGGCAACACTTATGGACACTTAAAAGTCTAAGGACAACCGTAAGGCTAGAGTGGACCTGACAACGTTGTGCAATAGACCAAATCCAGAGATGTAGCCTCCTAGTCGTGGCAAGACCTAGAGAAGGTCTAAGGCCGATTTCGTCTTGAAAAAGGACCAAAGGAGGGAAGTACTTGAATGGATCAAGACGCTAATGTTCCTTGATGGGTATGCAGCGAATCTAAAGAGGGGAGTGAACTTAGGCACTCTGCGAGTAAACGGGATGAAGAGTCATGACTACCACATATGGATTGAGCGGCTTCTTCTGGTGATGGTTCGAGGTTATGTCCTGAAGCATGTCTGGCAAGTGCTGGCAGAGTTGGGCTACTTATTCAGTCAGCTTTGTGCCAAGGAGCTCTCTCGGACCTGTCGACACAGAATTTTCAACTCCGTGCCGAGGACACATGCAACAAGCTGGAAGGGTCCGCTCGATGGAGCAGATCCGCCTAGCTTCAGTGCAAGGGTGGTCGATCCTACGCAATCCTCCCGAGACGTGCCAGTCAATTTGACCATACAATTGATAAGGAGAGAAAGCTTATCAGTCAATTTGACCAGCACGGGTGGATGCTTCATATATTCTTTTATCTCCTCAAATGCCTTCTGTTGTACATCACCCCATTTAAATTCTTGATCATTCTTTAATTTCAACAAGGGAGAAAACGGCAGAACCCTTCCCGACAAATTCAAAATAAACCTTCTGATGAAATTGATCTTGCCAAACAAAGATTGCAACTCTGTCTTCGTAGTCGGGGGCACTGCGTTGTCAATTACTTTCATGCTTTTCTGACCAACTGTGATTCCTCTCTCGTGGACCATAAAACCCAAGAATTGTCCAGCTGACACTCCAAAAGCACACTTATTAGGATTCATCTTCAGACCATGTTTTCTCGTGCATTCCAGAGTCTCCCACAAATCGGCTAGATGCTCTTTGTATCCTTTCGATTTTACCATCATGTCATCGATGTAGATCTCAACAATCCTACCGATCAACTTATGAAAGATATAATTCATTGCCCTTTGATAAGTGGCACCAGCATTCTTTAGACTGAAGGTCATCACAACCCACTCGAACATGCCGATCGTGCCGAGGCACCTGAAAGCGGTTTTCGCTATGTCCTTAGCCATGAAAATCTGGTTATACCCTGCGTTGCCATCCATAAAGCTAATAACCTTGTGCCTAGCTGCTGCATCTACTAGCATATCAGCTATCGGCATCGGATAACCATCCATGGGTGTGGCTTTATTCAAATCCCTGAAATCGATGCAAACTCTCAATTTCTCATTCTTCTTGTATACAGGGACGACATTCGATATCCATTCTGCATATTGGCATGACCAAATAAACCTTGCCTCCAGTAGCCTTTCAGTCTCCTTTTTTATATCATCAAGCACGTTCGGATTGAATCTCCTCGGAGCTTGCTTAAATGGCCAATATCCAGGCTTGATTAGCAACCGATGTTCGACAATTGACTGGTCTAAACCAGGCATCTCGTAATATTCCTAGGCAAAGCAGTCTTTAAATTCTTTTAATAAACCAATTAATTCTCGCTTATACTCTGGATCTAATTTAGCACTTACGTACGTCGGTCTAGGCCTATCTCCGGAACCAATATCCACTTCTTCCAATTCATCGGCCGACGTGAAGCCATGTCCCAGTTCACCATCTATACCATCTATTGGATTATCCATTAAAACAAATTTTCAAAGCCGACTGCTTAGATCGGCTGTTGGCTTTCACCCTTGACTCTGAATTCTGATGGCAACAGAAAAGCCATTTGGATATTAGCCGATGGTTGCCCTCTATCGGTTGTTTGCCTTGCACGTCATACTTGAGGTTTACCGGATACCTGAGCCTGTTCCAACTCTTTATTCCTTAGGTGTTGCATCCTTTTCTTCTGGCTTGTTG